TATTTCCCGCCTGGGAGTCCATGGAAAAGTCACCAAAATCTCCTGGTTAATGGTCAAACGCTCAGTTTTCGACAGAAAACAACAACACCTTCCAATCTAAACGCACAAGTCCAAAACAACTACCGCACAATTTCCTACGTCGATTCAAATTCAAAAACACCCATTTCCTCATCACTTCACTTCCTCTCAATGCTGCCCCTCAAATCTCTTTCTCGATCCCTTCAAGAAATCTGATGAATTCTGAATCTTAATCTTTCCCAAAAACAGCCCAACATATCCACTCACTATCCAGCATTCAAATCCCAGAAGACTTAAAATCATGGCTTCCTCGAAAACGATTGCTTCCAAGAAGCCTACAGCAATGCAGCCCCAAGCTCCATACAATTCCCTCTATGTCAATCCCCTCACCGACCTCAAACACAACCGTAGCTGCAGCGAGGGGAACAACAAGGAGAACGTTTGCTTTGATGATGGCGACAAAGAAAATGCAGCGCCGGTGCCAAATGGGACTTCTCCTGTTCCCTGCAGGAAGACCCCGCATTTCAAATCTTTATCCACAATTGGGTCATTTCACTCCTCCAAAGAGGCTTCAACTTTCAAGTCCCTGTCGACTGGCAGGGTCTTGAAGCCGTCCTCGCTTCAGTTTTGTATGCAGAGGAATGAGCCTGAGAAGGTGTTTGGGTACAAATTATGGGATCCCATTCCCACTGAGTCAGATACTTCCAGTTCTTTGAATGTCTGGGACTTTTCTGATTCTGAGGCAGCTCCGGCTTCTTCTTGGTTTACATTGCCAAATAGGTGTGTATATGATATGAAATTATGAATGAAACAGCTTTCTTTTTCATCTTTTCAGTATATATAATTTGTAATGATCAATCAATATGGGTTTGGTTTCAGGGCCTTGCTGTACAGACCATTGCCACCGGACATTGGGAGATGTACTTGTGTAATTGTGAAGGAATCGTCCGCTGAAGGCTTGGATGGTGGTACTCTGTATTCCCTTTATACCAATGTAAGATCTTTATGGTATTCCATGTTGTTGACAACGCTCGAATCTCACTGATAAACATTAACATCCAAATCTGAACTTAGGAAATCTAATTTACTTATCTGTAATCTTACCACAAGAGTTTACTCTTGAATCTACAAATTTGGCATGTTAATCTTGCAGGAAGGTAAGGGAAGACAGGATCGTAAATTAGCAGTAGCTTATCACAAACGAAGAAATGGGAAATCAGAGTTCATCATAGCTCAGAATACAAAAGGAATATTGTCTATTTCAGATGATAGTTATGTTGGATTAGTGACGGCTAATCTCATTGGCTCAAAGTACCACATATGGGATCAGGTTCAGTTTCTATAATTTTCCCCAAAGTTAACAACTTTTTGTTAATTTACACTAGTAAAATGGGCTTTCAGATGTCTTTGGATTAATGTAGGCATAGTTTTCTTTGCATTGATTTGGTTTATAATGTGCTTGACTGCAGGGCAGCCTTGCCAATTCCAAAAAACAATCTAATTCACTTCTAGGTGTTATAATGTAAGCAAAACACTCTCGCTCTCAGTATGCTTGTGATCCTTTCATGGCTATTAATTTCATTCATTTATTTAGGTTCATGCCAACTATAGCCACCTGGACTGGGAGTTATAGAAGCATGAAGGCATATGTTCCTAGGCACCAATCAATGCAGCTAAAGAGCTTAACTCAGGTGAACTTAAAAGATTTAACAATATCTTTGTGCTTGCCCATTTAAGATTGTTTCGTGTCTTGCGTATTCTTTGAGAGGATTTCTTGTTCGCTATCCTTTATTAGCCTTGGAGTCCAATAGGAACATAAATGAAACCTCACTTTTTCCGTGCAGAGGCAACATATTAATGGACTGCCCAAGGATTGGGAGAAAAATATGGATAATGTTCACAAGTTGTTCTCAAAGGTTCCTCATTACAATAATGTAAGATATGAAATAATTATTTTCACATCATATAATAGTAGAGTGTTTAGACTTCATTTGTTTTTTGACCCTTGAAAATGGTTAATTTGCTACAGATCTCAAAACAATATGAGTTAGACTACAGAGATAAGGGAAGAATTGGGCTTAGAATACAAAGCTCGGTAAAGAATTTTCAGCTGACATTAGAGGTATCATGAACTTTTCAATTCTATCCACCACAACATTGCTGTTTAAGTTACAAAGATTCAGAACGTTAGTAGAAAAGAAACCACAGACATGCACAAGAATTTGTAATAGGTTCAGTTCAAGCATCTGCATAAATTCAGCATGTAGACTGTCAATGTAAAAGGGCTACCTAGTTAAAGAATACAAGATTTGATAATGTTAATTTGGCTGTTAATCAATTTTTATATTATCGAACTAGCAGAATGGAAGGCAAACAGTTCTGCAGCTTGGCAGAGTAGACAAATACAAGTATGTGATGGATTTCAGGTATAATGTTCAACTTGTTCTAATACTAAATATTATTGCATTTAAAGGGAACAATTAATAGTGTCATAAAACTCCAACAGTTCAGGAACAAAGAGAACTAGAGAAGTGAAAGACATATACTGCTATGTGTAATGCTTCTTTCTCTTGCAGATATCCTTTGACAGGCTACCAAGCATTTTGCATATGTTTGGCTTCGATAGATCCGAAGCTTTGTTGCACGGTCTAAGTGGATTCTACAGCCATCCATTTTCGTAGTTCAACCTCTGAACATGAATTTTTTTTCCTTTTCTCAGTTTCCCACATTAGCAGAAGGAAAAAGTCATCATTTTGTAAAAGATTGAAATTTAGTTGTGACTATGAACATGGATTGTTGCCTAACAATCTAAAGCTGAATGCAAGTCATTTCCGAATCACCGCCATTTTCTCCATGAAGTAACGCTTACAGGTTAGAATCTTGCACGAACTGTTGCTGTCAAGTTCCATTCCACTGTTGGGGCATGGTATGTATCATTGTCCCTAGATTTTGCTGCACAGCTGCCCTTGAATTCTGGGGCAGGTTGTTTAGTATAGTCAACAAAGATACTGAAGTATAGTTGACTAAACTTCTTATTTTCTTCCTGGCTTAAACCTCGAAAAGTAATGGTTTTAGTTTAGTTTAGTCAACTAAACGCTCTGCAGCAGAAATCACGGGCAATCTACTAGTCTAGCAGCAAAATCCTGAAAAAAACTGCCAGCATTTGTTCCCACCACATACTAAACATTAAACAAGCATATGCACTTAGAGTTATTCAATCAATTACGTTTGATTGTAAATGACTTTATTCTCCAACAATGATAAAATTGCGCTTTGTGCGACTTAAAAAATCATGAGATGACTTAAATTCGTATATTAAATAAATTGATTGTTCTGACATCAAATTTATAAGATAAGTTAGACTTCAGAAGAATGCAAGAGAAAACTAAAGAGGCCCAAAAGGCTTCTTCCTTTTAATTTGAGTCTTAAAATCAATGTAATTAGTGTTCTTTAAAAAATTAAATGAGATAACTAACAACTTGTTAGTTCGATTTGCGTAAAAAGAATTCGATTTCTCTTAAATTAGATATTGAATTTGAATCTTATGAATAAAAAAATAAGTGTTGAAAAAATTTTTTTTTTAATAAGTTTGACACGACTTGATTTCGAATTAATCGGGATTTAATGTGATTACTAGATATCGAA